ATATATTTATTTTGTATCCTGCAACCTTGCTATAATCATGTATTAATACTGGGATTTTGATTTTCTATATAGACAGTCATATCGACTACGATGAAACACAGATTTTATTTTGTTCTTCTCTTTTCCTATCTGAGATCTCAAGTTTGATGTTGGAGAGCAGTCATGAGAAGAGACATCTCTGCTTTGTTTGCGATCTTAGTGGGAAAGTTTCTTGTTTTTCACCATGGAATATTAAATTAATTGCAGGTTTTATAGGGATCCCTATCATGCTGAGTTTATAGACATTCTTTACCATTTTGAGTTTACTGAGAACTTTATTTTTTATTATGAATGGGTGTTAGATTTCGTTAGATTTTCTGACGCTATGAAGATAACCATGTGGTCATCTTTAATTTGCTAATGCAATGAATGACACGCTCTGGTTTTTAAATGTTGAACCAGTCTTTCATACTGGGAATAAATTAGCCTTGAATACCTGGATTACACCACTTGATCTTGGTATAAAATTCTTTTTATACATTATTGAATTTGATTTGCCTGTGAATCCTCTGCTCTTGGTGATTTCTGTTTTTGCATGTTACTCATTAATGATTCAGTTTCTCTAATAAACAGAGCCTGTAAAGATAATCACTTCAAGGGTCAGTGTGGGCAAATTGTATCTTTCAAGAAGTTGGTTCATTTTTACCTATGTTATCAAAGTTGCAGTTAGCCCATTTTAATCTATATCTTCTTCATAAGATTCCTTTATTACCCTTTTAATGTCATGGAAACGTATAGTATCCCCTCTTCATTTCCGATATCAGTAATGTCTTTTTCTTTTGCAACTTCACTAGAGGTTTATTAATTTTATTAATCAGTTCAAAGAATCAGTTTCTGGTTTTGTTGATTTTCCTTATTGATTTCCTCTTTCCACTGCTTTTGGAATTAATTCTTAAAATTTTCTATCTTTCATTTATTTTAGGCTTAATTGAATTCTTTTTTCTAGTTTCTTAAGTTGGAAATTTGATATTCTCAAGCTCCACACTTTTATCTCAGCTTCATCCTATTAATAAACCCATCAAAGTCATTTTTCACAACTATTAGTGTTTTTATTTTTATTTTTTTGGTGCCAGGGATTGAACTCATGACATCGCACTTTCCAGGCAGGCGCTTAAGCCACTGAGCTAAATCCCCAGCCCCTATTAATGTTTTTAATCTTTTGCATTTCTTTTAACCCTCTCTTAGCATTTCCTTTCCTCGCTTTAGTGTTTAAAGTCCTTAGCACGTGAATCATAAATTCATTTAAATTCCCAGTCTGATAGCTCCATCACCTCTGCCACACCCTAGACTGGGTCTGATGTTCGCTGTCTCTTCAGAGTGTGCGTACACCTAGTAATTGACTTACTAGTGCCAATTGATAAGCTAGTATTTCCTGATATCTGTAGTTGATATACTCTTGATGGCCAAGTAAGAGGAAATGCTGTGAAGAGGCCTTCGGTGATGTGGAAGCACCAGAGAGGGAAGCTTTCTATGGTCCTTTGCTTAGGTCTTAGTATTTTTGTGAGTCTGTGTTTCTGGACTGTGGATGTCACCGGTGTTTTTGAGCTATTTTATCTTCTCTCTCGTGGAAAGAGCTGACCAGAACCAACAGACTGGAACTGGGAATTCTTTGACTTGAGGTCACTTACACTGTTAAAATACCAGCACGCTGCACCCTGGTTAACTACTTGCTTTTAAGATCAGAGCGTGTTTAGAAGCATGGAATGTTCTAGAGCATTTTAAATGGTTACTTCCCTTTCTGAAAGTAAGTGGGATTTTTCTCCCATTGTGAGAAACTGATCCAGTTCCAGGTGAAAATCACAAACATGGGTCCGCAGAGTGTTTTGCTCTTGGACTTGATCACATCGAGCCACCAGCAATTTGTAAATTAGAATTCAGGTTTTCCTATGCTGGCACTGGTAGAGGCTTCTGCTCGTGGGTGTTTACTTTGATAAATTTTGATTTTTCTGTGCCCTAGCACTGGGCTAAACCAGTTACAGTTTACAATTCTCAGTGTAATTGGATATCACTGTGGATAACTGTGGATATCACTATTTTACAAATGGTGACATTAAGGCTCAGAGAGGTGGATTCACATGCTTAGAAACATGAAGATAATAAGCAATACAAACAGAATTTGAATGTATTAAAGTCAGTTGTGGCTCCCAGAGGTAACCAGGTTTTCATCTCTCTGGCCATTCACTGTTTTACTTTTCCGGGTTCCCTACATGACATAAACTCTTCCCCAAGTGTTAATCACACAGCCTCGTACCTCTCAGTTCTGAATTTTACTGTCCCAGATAAGTTCTTGTGCACAGGAGGCATACAATAATGTTTGTAGAATGACTGACTTTTAAGTTGTTGACATCTCTTTGGGGCTTCTTTCTCCATTTCAAAAAAAAAATGAATATTGAACTTTGAGTTTCTGATCCAGCATATAAAGAACTGAAAAGTTGCTATTCCATCCTAACAACAAATAAAAAAGCTGCACGATGAAAAGCTGGCAGTTCTACTTAGATTCATAAAAAGCAAGGCCAGAGGGCAACCTGCTGACTTCAGGATTGGAAGGCCCAGCAGCCCAGATTCCAGTAACTTTCTCTCAGTCTGTGTCCTCACTATGGAAAAGAAGTTCAATATTGATTTTCTTAGAAATAATAAGAAAACCAGCCCAAAGAGATGTCAACAACATAAAAATCAATTACTTCACAAACATCAGTTGAGATCTTCCTCTGCATCTGGTCCTATCATGGGCAGAAACACTGCAGAATGCAGACACGAGGCTGTTTATCACTCTTGGGAAGGGAGCCCAGAGAAGTAAACCAGGATTGATCCCTAATAATAGAGGCTGTTACTGGGGTATGGAAAACTGGTTACCCTTGTAGATACTAGAGCTTGGTTCTATAGAGTTAAATCCTGGTTGTATTGCTTAATACCTTTGTGGTTCTGGGCATGTAAACCAATACAGGTGCATAAGGTGTTAGGTAGAGATGCATAGTGTTTGTATAAGCTCCTTTCAGAAGCTCATTATGACACAGTAGGGAAGGGGAGAGCTTCCCCCGGCTGAAGGAACCTCTGCTTCATTGCCTGAAGCAGAAAGTATGCATGATAGGAGGGGCAGTGTCCATGAGGGAGAGTGGCAGGTGTAAAGTCAGCCAGGAAGAAAGGCTGTGTATCAAGAAGGATCCTCCCTAGATAACTGTCGGTCAGTGATCCCCAAACTTCAGGCTCTCATGCGGTTTGCAATATCTTCAGGGATTATAAGTTTCTCATGTAATTACTTGTTTAAAGCTTCTGTTTAAATAAACACATCCATAATTTTTTTTATTAGTACCTGTTTGTAGTGCAGCATGACTACATTCTTCGTGGGGAAATTGGTACATATTCATAACACATCTTAATTCTTTCAAATGTACATTGTAGCTTTTAGAAAATAAGTGTACTTATTTTCAAAAGGAGATGTCAGGGTACAGCTGCAAAGGGAAGATTACGTTTCCCTGCCATGATAGTAGCCGCTGAAAAACAAATGATCCTTGTTCAAATTTGTAAAAAGAAAATTGCACACCTGTAGGCCACCTAAAGCCGTCGTGAGTAATCGGGTTGGTGCATTCTTCAGGTGTTCGCTTGGCATTGGTGAAGGGCACCGGGAATCAGAGAACACTGTATAGAGAAGTGACGTGATCTTTGGTGGCTGATGTTTTTAAGGGAGGAGCAATGTCAGCACGATACCAAGGACACTGTTGCAGCTGATAGAGAGAAGTTTGTGGCCCCAACTAAGGATGTATCTGGGGTCCAAGTGGGACAGGCAGATATGAAACTTGCTTTAGGGTAGAACAGAAAAGTGTGGGATCCGTTAGCTGGAGGAGGAGGAGGAGGGTGTCCTGGTGTTTGGTGTGGGTGCCATAGAAATGTGAATATTTCTATGTTTCTGTCTGGTTGCTCTGCCCCTGGGTGATGGACAAACTTCAGAAGCTACTGGCTCAACAGACAAGTCCAACACTTGAATTCCAGGACAGGACTTTGCCTCTTCTTCTTTGGAGGAAAAGTCCCCCTCTTGCTCAGTCTGGGGTGGTTGCCAGAGTGCAGCCTTTCTGTATAAACTACAGGCAGGGTGACATCTTATTCCTGCTGGGTCCCTGTGGGCACTGGGACCAGGAACTTGGCCCAGTTATTACAGTGATAACTCTGATTTCTGCTTTGAAACTCATGTTTGCTTTCAAGACAAACATGAATAACTAGAGATATTAACAACTTCCCAGACAGCAGGTGACAGATGTTCCACAGCCTGTCTGGACATGGATCTTTAGAAGCTGAAAAGGGATGTTTCATCGTGACCTTGTTTGGCCCCAAAAGTCTAGAGCCAGCAGGCAGCGAAGTGGCTCTTTTCCATGGGAAGAGAGAGAGAGAGAGAGAGAGAGAGAGAGAGAGAGAGAGAGAGACAGAGAGAGACAGAGAGAGACAGAGAGAGACAGAGAGAGAGATTCACCGCGTGAATGGGTTTGCCAGAGGTTAAGGCAGCTGGCAGGTAACAGCTGGCTTCAGAGTCACTGGTTCATCACTAGGTGACACTACCCCACAGGGACATTTGGGATGGTCACAGCTCTGGCTAAGGGCGCTGTGGGCGTCTAGTGAGTGAGGTCAGCCTTCCACAGCCTTCCACAGTGCCCAAGTGACTTGTAGCCCTCAGCAACGTGGCCAGATAGAGACACAGCTCCAGAGCTCTGGCTGCGGGCCGCGCACCCCTCCGTTAGTCAGCACCCGCGCCTCTTTGCTCTGTCTTCCATTCTGTCTTCATTAAAAGTGAAAACCAGCCCACCAGTCATGTCCGTCAGAAAGTACCCCGGGCTGTGACTGATACCTTTTTGAACTTTTCTTTCGCGTATCAATAATCCCTGCCTTTATTATAGAGCTCTGCAGGCTGGCGTCTAACTCGGTCCTATGGAGAGCATCACGTTTGTGTATGTTTTCTGCAGCTATCGATTATGGTAAAACGGGAAGGCTGGGCTGCCCGTGCTCTGCAAAGTGCTCTCCGTGCTGCTGCCCTGCCACCCCTGCTGGTGACGTGCATGCGTGTTTTGGCCAGCGTCCTCCACAGAGCCTCGTGATCCCAGCTGGCTGGAGGTGGGTGACCTTCAACCCCAACTCCCAGCTGCCAGGCCCAGGGTCTGACGCAGAGATTGGGTCTCTGGAGGGCAGAGAGCTCTGAGCAGGCGGAGGGTCTGGAAGGGGGGTGCTTAGGGTGTGTCGTGGGTTGCTTGGCTTTATCTGGGCCTCAGCTTCTCCCTGGGTTTTTATCGCAGACTTGTTGTAGTCTGGACTTATTTTTGTCTTCATTTTTGGCCAATGTTATTTTCTTGGGGTTCTGAGGCTTAAAAAGGGGTCAAGGAGCAAAGCAACGGTTTGGGAATCTCAGGGCTGGGGCGTGTTGGTTGTGACCTCCGATAGTCACTGCTCCTGTGCACCGGCTGCTGCCTCTGCTTCCTTAATGCAGTCTCTTTGTTCTTAATCTACAGGCCGAGGAGGTACTGGGAGAATTCTTTTGCCTTCTGGGGAGAGAAGATTCCGTGCCTGTCGCAGATTCTGAAGAGGGGGACACTCTCCTCAACTCTTACCCTGCACCCCCTCCTGCCCACTTCCCTCCACCCCAGATCCCAGTTCAGCTCACTGGGTATGGCTCCAGCGCTGATCTGGTGGTTTCCAAGCTTACTGTTAAAGGTCAAAACTACAGTGGAAAAGAGCGGGGTCTCGGTTCTGGACCCTCCCTACTGGGATGAAGAAGCAAAGGCCTGGGGCTGGGAGCTGGCCTTGGTCCCCTGACCGTCCAGGTGAAGAGACAGAGCCCTACCGGGGACAGCTGCCACCTTCCTTGGCCCTAGCCTTGCGTGCTTCCAGGCTCTCATCTCCCCTTCCCTCCTTTCCATCCCATTTCACTGTCAAGGAGACCAAGCTCTCTACAGTGGGCCTCTGCTCAGCAGGACACACACCCTCCCTGCTCACTGAGCAACACACACTTACCTGTCTGGGTGCTTCGGGTAGGAATTGAGATGCCTACAGGCTCCAGAAACTCCAGACAGGAGCAGCTTCAACAAGACAGGAGTTGATTTTTCTCTTCTGTAGCAAGAAGCTCAAGGGGAGAGAGTCGTCGTGGGGTGGAAGGGCAGCTCAAGGGCATGAGGTCTAAGGTCTTCGCAGTGCTCCTGACCTTGACCTTGTAGCGTGCTGCAAGATGTCTGTTCCAGCCCCAGGCACTGAGTTTTTGATTCAGACAGTAAGGAGGGGAGAAGTGGAGGCGAAGAGCACGAGAGCCGCATGAGTGAATGGGGAGAGTTTCCCGGAGCTCGCGTGAATACTGAAATCCATGCCTGCTAGGTCCCTTGTATAAAACGGCATAGTTGCTGTGTATTCCCTATACACCCCTCGTAGCCACTTGAAATCATCTCTAGATTCCAGAAAATACCTAATCCGATTCAAGTGCTATTAAAATAGCAGTGCTGGATGGTTTAGGAATCATGACGGGAAAAGAAAGTCTGCACACGGCCAGGCATTTTACAGTCACTGTTGGCTGAATCCATAGATATAGAAGCCCCTGACACGGAGGGACAGTTGATTCTTTTTAAAAAATGTGATTTTCATTAGTACATTGTGTAATACGTAATGATTGCATTCATGGTGGGTAGCTGGTACACAGGTGTAACATGTCTTTTGCAAATGGGAAGGAGGCCAAGAGATGGAGGGAGCGGAAGGAGGGGAGGGGAAGAGTTGTAAACAGAATGAGGGCATGCTATGTACAGATACTGGCCGCGTCTTCTAAGGAGTTTCCCTGCGAGGTCATCCAGCCGCTGCTACTCACAGCTCCTGGTGATGCGTGACTGCCTCTTTCGGCAAGGAATCTGAGAAATGGGTTCTTTCTAACTAGACAGCACGGTTCTGTTAAATAAGCATGGATTGCATTTGTTTTCTTGGGCAACCGTAACTAACTACCACAAACTGGATGGCTTAAGTCAGTAGAAATGTATTCTCTCTGAGCTCTGAAATCGAAGTGTTGACAGGACCCCATTCCCTGCGGAAAGCTGCGGGAAGGATCTGCCCCACGCCTACTCCCCAGTGTTTTGGGGTCAACGCCATGCCTGGTGTTCCCCGAGTTCTGAGCGCCTCCTGCCAGCTCTGCATCCATCGTCATCACATCCTTCTCCTTGGTGTGTGTCTGTCTCATAATAAAATCATTTGTACTGAATTTAGGACCTGTGCAGCTTCTATGTGATCTTGTCCTAACCAGCTGCATCTTTCAGTGACTCTGGTTTCAAAAAGTTCGCATTGTAAGGTCCCGCAAAGCACAAGGCGTGATGACACCCAACCACATAGAGGGACCAAGGCTTTCGGTTAGGGAATTTGCTATCTCCAGGTTTCAGCTGAGTTGCCCCTCTGACCTCAGAACCACACTCCCACCCCTCTTAGGTCCCTTGAAGCACGATGACCTTCCCAGCACAGCCTTGGGACTGCAACAACCTGTTTGCTCATGGAGTTCCTCACAGGTCAAGGGCAGCACGATTTTGTTTCCCTGCCTCAGCCCTGAGCTCTGATGGTAACCTCAGCAAATGTTACTCACGCCTCATTTTTAACGGACAGTACAGCTGGACTCTGAAATGGCCCACAGTGTCAAGGAATTTATTTTCATGCCCAATAGGAAGCGTGCAGGTGTGTAGACTTGGCATGTGCTCAGAAGGTCAGGGCTGCAGTATGGTCAGCCACACGTTCCTCTTGGTGTGGGCGTCAGTTTCTGGAGAGGAACAGGACAGTGACCGTGGTTCCAGATGAGCGTTTCCCAGAGGACTCATTTTCTGAGCCTCCCCTGCTGGGTCGGGATGGCTCCGAATCTTTCGGTCGACCTATCTCTTTGAGGCCTGGCTTGGACTAGGCATTTAAGGGCTGTGGGATGCTGGGGACTCAAGAAACGAGTGCCTTTCTGCATACATGAGTGCAATCTTGCTGCTTTACTGAGCTCAGGACCGTGCTTTGCCCACTGCATTGTGTGGTGACCTGGAAAGCTCCGCAGGCCCAGCCCAAAACCCCAGAGGCATCCTGCAGGACCATGAGAACCAGCAGAGACACATTTTCCTCTGGCTTGAGCCAGCCTCTCCTCATGACCGGTACTCCATGCCAGCACACATGGAGGTCAGCTCAGGGGACGACTTGATGTTCTTTCTTGGCAGGAGTCTACTTTCTTTCTTGGAAAGTTACATGTTCCCGAGCCGGAGCTGAACAGCTGGTCCGAGGTCAGGACTGTGGGTGAACGCGCTTCTCTGAGGTCTGAATGAATTTGGTTCGGCCTGGAAGCAATTCAGGAGACAGACAGCTGCCCTCATTAACCCAGGATTTTGGCTCTGACTGGCCAGCAAACCGAGGGGTGGAGGACTGGAGGTGACTGGTACCTTTAGTAAGCCAAGAAATTGTGGGGCAAAGGCAATCTTTATTTAGATCGATTGCTGGAGGAATAAAGAAGGTGTTAATGTTTCTGAACTGAATGCAGAAACCCTGTTCGGGGAACCCTGCCACTGACCTCCTATAATTTTCCTACCTGGATCTTTGCAGGCAACCAAAGGAGTGAGGTGGACACCCCGCCTGCAGCCGGGGGTGCCTGCCCTTTCTTGCATAGAGAAGTTCATCCGGACGCTCCTTGCTTCATGATAAAAGATCAGAGATTCAGAAACAGATGATGCTGGTAATAATAGGTAAATTTACCCATAACTGCCTATACCGGAAGAATTGTGTGTGTCTGTGATATCTTATTTAGTCTCAGCAGGAAACACAGCACAGCAGTGAGGCAGGTGTGCTGCTGTGGCCTGCTCCAGAGTTGCTGTACCTGAAGCTAAGACAGGAAAGGGCACCTGCTTGATGACCCGCTGTGGGGCGTGGTAGGCTCAAGACCCAAACCGAGGTCTTGCTGATAACAAATTTGAGCTTGTACCTCTCAAAAGCCAACTGGTACACTTTTGTTACTTCTCTTATTTGTCCAAATGGTAACGTTTTCACGGAAAAAGCTTGAGAGTTGTTGCCACTGAGATCTTTCAGTTCAACAGAAATGGGTATTTTCAGGCCAAGGGTGGTGGCACATGTCTGTAATCTCAGCGCACTTGGAGGCTGAGGCAGGACAGTTGTAAATTCAACTCCAGCCTGGGCAACTTAGGAACTTAGTGAGACTCTGTCTCAAAGGAAACAATAAAAAAGGCTGAAGAGATAGCCCTACGCAAAGGTCCTGGGTTCAGTCCCCAGTACCGCCAAGAAAGAGGAAGAAGTGCCTTTTTTCCATCAGACAACGTAATAATTTTAATGTGTTACCTGTAAGGGAGAAAGACTGGGAAATGACCAAACATCTGTTCATAGTGGACAAGTTGAATAAGTTATAGTTAAATTCAAATAGTAGAGTGCCAGCAGAAGCGGTGAATATCTTCGTATATTGACACAGAGTGATGTTCAGTGTATAGGGTTGAGAGGAAAAAAACCCAAAAGGACCAGAGTAACAGTATTCTCCTTAATGTCAGATTGGAAAATGCGTGTGTGCCTGTGATTTAAAAAGCAATTAAAACTGAAGAGGTCAAGGAAAAACCCAGCTTATTATGGGCCACTAGATAGCGGGTGAGCGGGGTGAAAGTGGAATGCGATCCTTATTTTTAGACCTGATTTTGGAACCTTGTACATGTTTTACATAACTCAAAATAAAAATAAAAACTGCTAACTCCTAAGAACCGTCATGCCAGAAAACACTTCAAAGAACACACACTTATGTGCACACACACACGTGCACAAAACCCACACATCAGAATTGTTTCAGATGATTTTCAGATGCAGCATTTGGACGCTGTGTTTCCAGTGGAAAAATATCCAGGGTCAAAGAAAATGTAAAGGTATCTTAGTTTGTACCCAGATGTCTTATTTTCATATCGATACTGTCAGTTTGGAATTATTATACGACACTGTGGGCTGACGTGGATGGACGTTGTGTTAATATCTTCAGGATCCAAAATCTTCAGTGGAACCGTAAGGATGTGTGTGTACACAGCTATATACATGTATTTATATTTTATGAGATATATGTGTTTATGTAGTTTTATATATTATTTTTGTTTATATGTATATATAAACCAAAAATAGTTAAATAAAACCTACAGTCTTAAAATCGGAACAAAAACAGTAAGATGAACTCATGAGTTATTTTTTCCTATAAGAAGTCCTCTTACACTTTGCTAACTCTGTCCGTGGCAGGTGCAGGAAATACAAGTCCCGGAGAATTGAGCTCAGCAAGTCTTTAAACATATTTCCTACTAAAATGAACTCAAGGTCGCCAGCCAGGTCTAGGGCAAGAAATCCACACACTTGTCCGGAGCCGCTTCCGTCCCGCGGAATGGAGCACACGAACACTCAGCCTCTGCAAGCACCTTTATTGACTGGGCAACAACCTCAATACATGTCCGTCCTCGACGGCTTCTTCCATGTTGTGCGTCGGGCACTTCCTATACTTGGGCTTATATAGCTAATGTTATCCAATCATGGGATTACACGTGGGGACAGGCGATTGGGCGGCAACAAGGAAGCAATCAATCATTACCATATATGGCGGGGACAGTAAGCCGAGCAAGAACCAGGAAGCAGGATGTGTGTGCCATCTTGGGCACACGATGGGCGGGGGAGCAGCGGAGGCGGCAGGCGGGTGCCATCTTATGAATATGCTCTCATGAATAACATGGCAGGCTCCCAACACACACTGAACCCAGGAGATTTTGTCCTACCGGAAAGCTTGGCGAGAACTTGTCTGAAGAAAAATACATTTCTAAAAAGGCCTGGCATGTAAAGTGCTTGCCTAACATGCCCGTGTTTCTGTGTTCAAGTCTCAGAACTAGAAAGGAACAGAAAGATGAAAACTTCATGTCAAAGGAGGCAAGAGGGAGCACAAACATGGGCTCCCCCCGCTGAAGACAGGCTGATTTGAAAGACAGAACGATAACTGTAACTGATGGGAATCAATCAATTACTGTCAAAGTGATACCAACCAAAAAAGAGAAAAGCTCACTGATGGCTCCTGCAAACCGAGAGGGCACCAACTCATTCTGAAGAGGAACAGAAATAAACATCCACACTGTCCTTGGACCAACCACATTTCACAGTAGAAGACTGAAGAAGGAAAGTTATTTAGATAATTTTAGTTAATAAGTGAACAAGGAAGAGCAGAATTAAAGGGTGCTATTTTGCCACCCTCTGTGGGCCAATACGTTTTGGCAACAGCCTTTGGTCAAGGTATTAAAAGCATTAGGTGAGCCAAGGGTGACGGCATGCGCCTCTAATCCCAGCACTCTGGGAAACCGAGGGAGGAAGATTGCAAGTCTGAGCCTGATCTGGACACCTTAGTGAGAGATCGTTAACAAATCAATAAATAAAAGTAAAAATGGACAGGGGAAGTGGCTCCGCGTGAATGAAAACAGGTAGAAAAGGTGGTGGGGGCTTCCATATGGGGTGAGCCAGGCCCAGCACAGGAAGTGACAACATGATGCAGCCCCTGATCACACGTGCTCTTGCTAGGTAAAAACAGCTGCAATCGAATCCAGCCTCTGCTGCCAGTCTTCAGGGACTGGGGAACAAGGCAAACGGCACCGAGAGGAAGCAAGCTGCTGAACCTAGGACACTGCGAACGGCCCTGCTCAACAGACAGTGAAGAAAATGCAAGGAAATGTCAGAGACATAGCAATTAAAGGCCATACGTGGACTGTGCCCATTCCCCAGCTCAAGGGTACGACCAGGAATAAGAAGCTTTTGAGACTGTCAGGGAAATGCGCCTCTGCCTGTGTGCCAGATGAGTTTCTTGGTAATTTCATTAGGTGAAAGCATTAGGTGAAAGCATCTTGGTGGTTATATAATAAGTGTCCTCAATGATGGAGATGTAATCTAACAGTACTGTGGGAGGAAATAACACACGAGCTGGGGTTTGCTTTGAAAAAGTCCAGAAACTAAAGGTGGGGTGGGGATGGGGTGGAGGGATAAAACAGATCAGCCAAACACTGGAAACCCATAGAAGCCAGGTGGTGGAAATGTGGGGACTTAGTATATTGTCCTCTCAGCTTTACTGTCTTCTAGCCTATTCTAGAATCAAAATTTAAAATGGTTAAGTTGTATTTTTTTTAACTTAAAATACTGGCTCGCTTCTGTATTTCCTCAATTTAATTCTGGAATACAAAGACATTTGGC